GGCTGGGGCTGCGGATGATCTAGCGTCCGAAGCAGGACCCGACGAAGCAGGGGTAGCTGTGCTTGAGGCGGTGGTGGTGGCGGCGGCGGCGGCGGCGGCGGCAGTGGCACTGGTCGAAGGCGACACGCCATCGGCCGTCGATGCCGGTCGACTGGCGACGTCTCCATTTGCAGCCGATGCGGCAACGGGTGTGGTGGTGCCGCTGCCGGAGGTCGAGGGGCGGGCATCGGAGCGAGCAGCGCCGGTGGAAGAGGGAGTGGCGAGCGAGGCGGAGGAGGCGTTGGATGTGCCGGGCACGAGGAGGTTGGTGGGGCCGGCGGTGGAGTTGTTGTTGATGGGGGTGGAGACGTTGGTGTTGAGGTCGATGATGAGCTTGCCGTGCACGACGAGATTGTCGTTGGACTTTTTGAGCTCCTTGTTGAGCAGACGCTTTCCGCCAAGTTCGAGGTCGAGAACGTCTGCAACGCGGATGTTGATCACGCCCAAGAAGCCTTGATCGCGCTTCTTGAACTTCTTCTGGTCGAAGATCTGGACAGCGATGACGGAGGAGTCGGTGACGGTGACATCGAAGCTGTCGTTCCAGTAAGGGTTGAGCGTCTTTTTGATGACGGACGTGGAATGGGTCTGCTCTCCGTCGACGGTGACGATGGCGAAAGGATCGGGAAGACGGAAGACATCACGCTTGGCCAGTCCATCGGCGGCAACGACGGTGATGCGAATCTTTCGCGAAAGCGAGCCGGGGCTCCTGGGGTTGACCATGGTTGGGAATGAGGCAGGTTGCAATCAACGGGACGAGAAGCGTGCTGGAATGCTTTGGAACAGTGCGAGCTGGATTGGACGCGGTGAGACGAGCCAGCGATGAGAAGTCAGGGCCCGCGTGTACACGAATGAAGATGGCTCGCGGGGATGCCTGTGGGCGGGAATCAAACGGGCCCGGCGTCGAGGCTGAGAAGCAGAGAAGGTGGAGCCGGTGAAGTAACGAAGAAGAGTGACGGCGAGGAGTTTAGACCGAAACACGTAGGCACCGATCGATACGGTGGGTGAGGAGGTGGTGAGGCGGAAGGACGGAAGGGCGGGGAGAACGTTGCGGTGTGCTGCCGTGAGTTGAGTTGGGCGTGGGCTGCACAGCCAACTGCCTTGCGGGCGACGGGTGGAGTCCGCCGCTGCGCCTTTGGCAACACTTGGGAACTTTGCAAGTGCACGCGCACACACACTGGCCTGGCGCTCCTCCCAAATGGCTCCGACGGGCATCGGCAAGCGCTTTGGTGCAGGGGATGCCGCCTGCGCCTGCGTGCCGTGCCCACACTGACTTTGCACCGTTTCGCATGCTGACAGCGCAGGCAGCACACGATTACCGCCGAATTACAACAGCATTCCGTCAGGCGAAATTCAAGCCTTCACAAACTAAAATCCAAACCGCTCGGCCACGGCGTGCCGGCCCAACTCGCCCAACTCCCAAATCGGCAGGCAGTCATCCAGCGGCACGTTTGGCGAAATTTCGAAAAGAAGGGGAAAAATCGGTGCGCTGCGTGCTGCCGTTGTGAGGCTGAGCCATCCGAACTACGGCGACACGCTTCGGCGCCGAGCCTGCCGAATTGTTAGACCGATAGTGCCCTCTGCGGGTATCATTCATGTCGATGCTGTCTTTGACGACGCAGGGCCCCACATGCACACCCCAGGGAAGAACTTGGCTAGAATGAAGCTATTGACGATACGAAAAGGAAAGTGAGTGAAGAGGAGAAAGTATGATGGAGCAAATGACGGAACCGAGTCGAGGGACAGCGAGCGAGATGCCTGTTCGAGGCTCAAACGAGCCCGCCCGAGGTGCTGGCTCCAGCCTGGATACCGGCGCCTGTCGATGCTCTGCCAGCACTCGCTGCCTTGAGCTTCTCGATTTCGGCTTGCTGCTGTGCGACAGTGTCGGACAATGCGTTGATGTGATCCTTTGAGCCTTGTGCGTAGAGGGCGCTGGCACCTCCGGCTAGCGTAGCAGTGCCCAGAGCCGTTCCGACACCCCACTTGAGGCCACGGTTGCTTTTCTTCTGAGCCTCGAGAAGCTTTTCCTTGGATGCTTCCACGGCGGACAGCCTGCCGTTGAGGGTGTCCAGACCCTCCATGCTCTTGAGCAGCACTTGCTCGTGAACGTTGAGCGTGTGCGCTTGGTCGTCCAGGGCTTTAACGTGCTTGTTCAGAAGGTTGTCATGCTCGGCAAATCTGGGGTTGACCAGAGCTTCGCCCTCGGCAGGGTGAGTGAATGTGAGCGAGGGAGCACTGCTGGATCCTGTCTGATAGTGGTTCATCACCTCCTTGCCCTTGGGGCTCGCAGCTTGGTCGGAGCCTTGGACAAGCTGCTTGAGCTGTGCCACGAACTCGGCTTGCGACTTTGCACCAGTCTGTCCTTCGAACTTTTCGACGAGCTCCCGGACTCCAGGCACTTTTCCCCTCAAGAGGCAGTTCAGGAGGTCATAAGGTCAGCATGATGCTCGCTGTGCGTCCGCTCCTTGTCGGAGCAGGTCGACTTGGACGTGTAAAAGGCAGCTTACCGATTTGCTCGATTGCACGTCGCTTCAGGTCCCCCTTCGACGGGCCGGAGACCGTTCGTCGCACTTTGGCGAATCGGACAGAATCGAGCTGGTCGAGATGAACAGCAGCTACAAGCTGCAGCGCAACAAGAAGGCCACCAAAGGCCGGAAGGACCCGCATACTGACTAGGATGATGTCTGCCTGTTGCTGTCGTCGGTGTCAGAAAGGCTCTCACCGATATCGATCCAGATTGATCCAGAACAGCGATGTGAGCGGGCTAGGAGCTTCAGATGGGAGTCCAAGCTCCTGCTCCTGTCTATATATGATGCCAGAACGCAATCGGAGCGAGATCTGGCTCACAGCGGAAATGGCGCAACTCGTCCATTCCCACTTCATCTCGCTGGTTGCGTCGTCTTGACGACGTTGCATGCTTACTGAGCCATCCCGTCAATGATCCGGCATCATTGTTTCATCGGCTCGGGCGGAAACCTCCAGAGAGCCGTGGGCTCGGCCCACCGCCTTGCATCTCTCTTCATATACGGACGCGTGACGGGCGTCCAATTGTTCGACGAAGCTTCGTGGCTTGCTCGATATCATATGGCAGAGTCCTCCCGTAGGTTCAGAGAGCTTCACCGCAGCGCAACTGCACCACGCGAATGCACCTGGCCGCGGCCAAGGGATAGACTCGACCGTTGTTCGTGTTGGAAATTCCGGCCGAAACAATTTTGCCGTTGGACCGACTGACCAATTTTGGCCTCGGACCGCCCGGAATCGCAGCGCCTAGAATTCTTTCTTCCGCTCCGCCTCGTGTCTCGCCATCATTACGGCACACTGCCCTTCTCAACCTGCTCTAACGACCCGATCAGCTCTCTACCTCACACACACACACAGCTCCGCTCAGCAAACTCAGCATGTCGTTCACCGTGGCGCAGAGGCAAAGGGCCGTCGGCCTGTACAAG